GGCAGTGAGAAAGCCCAGAGCAGGACTGGCCTGGGGCTCAGGGGTGGGGCTGGAACAGGGCATGCCTGCCTGCTGCTTCCCAAACCCCAAGTGCCTTCTCTGGCTTTCTCCTCTCCCCACTCACTACCTTCCATGTACATCTGCCCACGGGCCCCTGAGCCCCGGGGCAAGTCCTGAGGGCGTAGGCAGCTTCGTCCTCTGTTGCCACGGGCACTTTTTGCTCCAGGCTTCACGGTCAAACAGGGTCAAACACTGAGGTCCCACCACACCAGCTGCCAACAGCTCAAGGGACCATGGCCAGGTCTCCAGAGCTTGGCCTCTTAACCTCCAACAACCTGGCCTGCCTGCCACTTGGGGCCTTGTCAAGAACTGTCCTGCCCCCTAGGACGTCCACTTCACTGGCCCCCCTTCCCTGATTTCAGTTGTTCACACTGTCTCCCCAGTGCACTCACACTGTCTCATTTTGCTGTCCAAATTAATGGGGCCTGTAGTGTGTGCCAAGCGCTGGGCCCGTGGGCCAAGGGTGCCTGCCTTTATGCAGAAGGCCCTGCAGCAGAGGGAGTGGGCTTCCTCAGACGCAGGACAGAGTAGCCGCTGGCTGCTCCTGGAGGCGTGAGCTGGCACACCAGAGCCAGCCTTCCAGAAGGAATGGCGCTCCTTCAGAGATACCCAGCCCAGGTTGCCCCCTGGTCCTCATTGAGGAGTCAGAGCCCTGGCTCCGGAAGCAGGGAAGTGAAGTGAAGTGAAGTGAAGTCACTCAGTTGTGTCCGACTCTTTGTGACCCCATGGACTGTAGCCTACCAGGCTCCTCTGTCCATGGGATTTTCGAGGCAAGAATACTGGAGTGGGTTGCCATTTCCTTCTCCAGGAGATCTTCCCGACCCAGGGATTGAACCTTGGTCTCCCGCATTGTAGGCATGTGCTTTACCGTCTGAGCCACCAGGGAAGTCGGGCCACAGGGAGATACGGTGCAACTTGACCTCCAGCCAGCAGGTGGCGCCACGGTCACATTTTTCCCCCCTACCCTGTTGATCCTTCAGCACCTGGGGCAGCTGCTCAGAACCACTGTCTCCCCCAAATCTTGCCTTCCTGCGAGTCAGGCAGAGGTGGCACCCTTTCCTTCATCCCTCCAAGCCCTTCCCGTCTTAGCAGTTTGTGAAAAGAAAGCTTTGGGTCACCCAGGCCGTGGGAGCATTTCCAGGCTCAGGGAACAGCAGGGGCTGCTACTGGAGGGACCTATCAGACTGAAGCCTGGCTTGGGGGAGTCTCTGGCCAGTGATGAGTCAGTGTTGGGGCGGGAGCCAGACAGCGCCCTTGTCCACACTGGGCAGGTGCTGAGCTTCTGTGAGTTGGGAGTTGGGATTAAAGGACTGGCCAGTCCATCCTAAAGGAAATCAGTCCTGAATATTCATTGGAAGGACTGAGGCTGAAGCTGAAACTCCAGTACTTTGGCACCTGATGTGAAGAACTGACTCATTGGAAAAGACCCTGATGCTGGGAAAGATTGAAGGCAGGAGGATAAGGGGACGACAGAGGATGAGATGGTTGGATGGCATCACTGACTTGATGGACATGAGTTTGAGCAAGCCTTTGGAGCTGGTGATGGACAGGGGTGCCCCTGTGGGTGAGACGAGATGAAGCTGTCTCCCTCGTTCTGGGCCGCCCAGGGTGGGTCACATGCTCTGTCCTGGAGCAAACCCCTGGGTGTCAGGAGTTTCGGGGATGCTCAACCTGGGGGGCCTCCCTGGGGATGGGGAGACTAGGGCAGTGGTCCTGGGAGCTCTTCAGAAGTCAGTGATGGGTTGAGGGTGGGGAATGAAAGAGAGGAGGTCTGAGGTGGCCCGTGGAACCATTCACCAAGAGGGGTTCAGCTGGGGTGGGTTTGCGGGAGAAACAGCGAGATTGGCTTTGAACATGGTGGTTTGGTGCTGCCTGAAGGGACATAGAAATAGAACAAAAGAGACATGTTCCTCACCCTTCTCTGATCAGAAGAGTTAGCTCAGTGGCGAGTTTTTATTGAGTACTTACTGTGTTAATCCAGGCACCTGGATTAACTCCAGCCTCGACTATGAGGTAGTCATTCTCATGAGCATCAGCCCCACTTTGCATACGGGTGGACCAACACATCAGTTCAGTTCAGTCACTCAGTCATGTCCGACTCTTTTCTTTCTTTTTGTGTCCGACTCTTTTCGACCCCATGGACTGCAGCATGCCAGACCTCACTGTCCATCACCAACTCCTGGAGCTTGCTCAAACTCATGTCCATCGACTCAAGTGATGCCATCCAACCATCTCATCCTCTGTCATTCCCTTATCCTCCTGCCTTCAATCTTTCCCAGCATCAGGGTCTTTTCCAATGAGTCAGTTCCTCACATCAGGTGGCCAAAGTACTGGAGTTTCAGCTTTAGCTTCAGTCCTTCCAATGAATATTCAGGACTTCTTTCCTTTAAGATTGACTGATTGGACCTCCTTGCAGTCCAAGGGACTCTCAAGAGTCTTCTCCAACACCACAGTTCAAAAGCATCAGTTTTTCAGTGCTCAGTCTTCTTTATGGTCCAACTGTCACATCCGTATATGATTATTGGAAAAACCTTAGCTTTGCATAGACGAACCTTTGTTGGCAAAGTTATGTCTCTGCTTTTTAATATGCTATCTAGGTTGGTCATAGCTTTTCTTCCAAGGAGCAAGTGTCTTTTCATTTCATGGCTGCAGTCACCATCTGCAGTGATTTTGGAGCACAAGAAAATAAAAATAAAGTCTGTCACTGTTTCCATTGTTTCCCCATTTATTTGCCAGGAAGTGATGGGACTGGATGCCATGATTATCATTTTTTGAATGTTGAGTTTTAAGCCAGATTTTTCACTCTCCTCTTTCACTCTCATCAAGAGGCTCTTTAGCTCTTCTTCACTGTCTGCCATAAGGGTGGTGTCATCTGTGTATCTGAGGTTATTGAAATTTCTACTGGCAACCTAGATTCCAGCTTGTGCTTCATCCAGTCTGGCATTGCACATGATATACTCTGCATATAAATTAAATAAGCAGGGCAACAATATACAGCCTTGATGTACTCCTTTCCCAATTTGGATCCAGTCTGTCATTTCATGTCCATTTCTAACTGTTGCTTCTTGACCAAGGCATAGAGGCCATAAGACTGAGCTAAGGTCACATAGCCTTGTGCTCGACCTTCTGCCGGCCTCTGGGCAAGGAGGATGGCTCCCTGGGAATAGGAAGGCCAAATGGGGACTGAGAAGAAGATGGCGGAGCTCTTCTCTACCTTTCCTTTGGTGAGTGCAAATTGTTGGTGTGAGGACAGAGGAAGAACACTGGCCTAGGGGGGCACCCTGGATTGGAGTCTCAGCCTTGCAAGTGGTTCTCTTGCCTTTAACATCCTCTGTGCCTCTATTTCACTGAGTTAATTCTTTGTGAAATAGGAACCTGGGTAGTGGGGTCAACCCCTGGGGTTCACTGTGAAGGGCTACTGGGAAGTGGGGCAGGGCTGACACTTCTGGGGGACCGTGTCAGGGGGCAAGGCAAGAAATGGAGGGAGCCAGTATCAAGGCAACTGAAGAAGGACAGGAAAGATGAAGGTTGGCAGTGGTGGATGGAACAGGGCTCTGTGAGGGAGTCTAGGAGAGAAGCATACCAGTTGAGGAGATGAAGGGGCCAAGCCAGGCCCTCTGTCAGGACTCGAAGCCTAGCTCTTTCCTACCAGCCACTGGGTGGTCCCTCAGCAGCCATGTTCTCTACCCAACCCCAGCTCTGCTCAGGTATCCTTGTCTCCATCCCTGTCTCCTCAGGTGGGCAAGACGTGGAGTATGGAGTGTTTCAGGAAGAAGCAAATAACCTGATTTGATTTCTTTTTTTTTTTTTTGAGGTGTAATGCAACTTCATCACTTTATTCAAATCTTCAAAATAGTCTTTATTCTACATTTTTAGTATAAAAAATCCACAAGTTAAGTGCACCACAGTGTAGAGAGAGACATACAACGCTGAACTTCCATAACAGTCAATGGTACAGTCAAACATCACATGTACAGAACACAAATTTAGATGAACTGAAATTATAAGATAAAATAAAATAAAATCCAATTTTAGAAAACAAAAATCAAAATATTAAGGATCCCTGAAATATTCTTAACCCTAATGAGATTTCACTGGACTCAAGTCATTTAGTAGTGAGGCATTCACAATATGACCCCATAACCCAGCTGAGGAATTCTTGGGAGCCATGAGTGGCTACATCAGACACTGACAAGAAATGGTAACCAATTTCTGATCTGCAAACTCCCCTTAATTTGGCTCCAGAGTCATCAGGCTTTTAAATGCATCCTCCTCCTTGTCCCTCAAAATTTATAAACAAACTGCTGTTTACGGTACAGTTTGCACTGGTATCCTTTGTTAAAACAAGGTTCAGTTTTTCTGGCACCAAAACAAATTTGGGTTTGGTTCATGTCTGAAGAGAAAACCTATGAGGAGGGTCCAAAAAGCACCCTCCGCTTTTGCCTGAGGAGATGCAAAAGCAGAAGAAATGGGTCCTGTGCTTGGGGCACAGAGGGGGTTTCAGAGGATCCTTTGTGAAAGACTAGTTAAAAGATGACAAGTGGGGGAAAGTGCAAGGAGAGAAGGAAATTAGTCTGACTGGCTTTCTGTCCTGCACCATTGATTCAATGGAGATTGGTGGGAAAAGAGTGGAAGACAAGGATTGAGGGTAGGACCAGGGGCAAAGGATGGAAAGGAAAAGGCAGACAACTAATGCGGTTTGTTTATAACAAGTAATATAAATCAAAGACTTAAAGGAGATTAAAGACCAATCAGAATAATTTGGCAACTTTAATTCTTAGGAAGATCAAAGTTCCCTCCAAACCTAATTTGATGTTTTATTACTAAAAGCAAAGACCAGTATGGTACAGTATTACTCCAGAGGAATTAAAGGAAGATCCTTAGGGCTGCTTTACCCACATTCATTTTATGAATGGATACCTCCCCTACCTCAAAATGCTTTAGAGAGGTACTGCTACCATTACATGGTTCCTTATTAAGTTTGAAAAGTGCCTGAAAGTTTGGGCACCAGAAAGACACCCCAACAACATGTGTCTAAACTGCAACTTCAGGTTAATATGACTAAAGCAGTTACATTGTGAGAAGTGCTGAAGGTATGTGATGTCTTTCCCGGCATAGAGATGGCCTTGGTTCTTCACCAGATGGTGTAGCCACCATCTGAGCCACCCATGAAGAAGTTTCCCTTCCGCTGAGTTACGAGGACATTGGCTCCCTGCATGACTGCCAGCTGAGCAGCATTGGGAGGGCATCCAGGGGGAGGAGGAGGAATGTTTCCAGCAGTAGCGCCAGCTCCAAATCTGGCCCCTGCATCATACCCTCCTTCCACCAGCACTGTTGAACCAGGTGGATAGATGGGACCAACTGGATAATAAGCCATGGGGATTGTGGAACCTAAAGGTCCAACAGCCACAGACTGGGCCATGGGAAGATACAGTGAGGCGCCAGGAAATGCAGCTGACATGGTGGGGACGGTGGCAGCCCCTGGGTGGACAAAGCTTGGACGATACAGCTCTGAGTAGGCAGGTGGAGCATCAGTATAAGGTGGAGCCTGAGGAAGATGCAAGGTCTGAGGGTACACAGGGTTCCCAGGAGGCTGCACGGGGTAAGTTGGCTGCGTTGGATATTGACCTTTGCTGTTCATGGTGGCTGCGGGTCCCTGATTTGATTTCTTGAAGGTGGTTGTGAAAAGTGGTTCAGAGATTGGCCAGAAAAAGTGAACTTTCTCAAGAGGGCACTGTGGAGCTACTGGAGGGCTGTAGGTAGGATAGTGACAAGATTAGATTTTTGCTTGAAGAGAGTTTTCCGGTATTTTTCGACCCTATCTGGCCTCTCTTGATAAATATAAAAATCTCATCTCTAGATTCCACCCCCCCCACCCAGGCCCCATTGAGAGTTCTATAGTTCCCCTCATGCCAGGGAGCCAAGCCTGCCTCATGTGATGTTCTGAGTAGAGGCCCAGTTGCTTTTTCCTCAGTTGAGGCTTGTTGTTCAGTTGCTCAGTCGTGTCCAACTCTGTGACCTCATGGACTGCAGTACTTCTGGCTTCCCTACCCTTCACTGTCTCCTGGAACTTGCTCGAATTCATATCCATTGAGTCAGTGATGCCATCCAACCATCTCATCCTCTGTTGTCCCCGTCTCCTCCTGCCTTCAATCTTTCCCAGAATCAGAGTCTTTTCAAATGAGTCAGTTCTTCGCATCAGGTAGCCAAAATATTGGAGTTTCAGCTTCAGCATCAGGTCTTCCAATGAATATTCAGGATTGATTTCCTTTAAGATTGACTGGTTGAATTCCTTTCAGTCCAAGGGACTCTCAAGAGTCTTCTCCAGCACCACAGTTCAAAAGCATCAATTCTTCAGCATTCAGCCTTCTTTATGGTCCAGCTCTCACATCCGTACACAACTACTGGAAAAACCATAGCTTTGACTACACAGGCCTTTCTCGGCAAAGTAACATCTCTGCTTTTTAATACGCTGTCTAGGTTGATCGTAGCTTTTCTTCCAAAGAGCAAGCGTCTTTTAATTTCGTGGCTGCAGTCACCATCTGCAGTGATTTTGGAGCCCAGGCAAATAAAGTCTGTCACTGTTTCTATTGTTTCTCCGTCTATTTGCCATGAAGTGATGGGACTAGATGCCATGATCTTCATTTTTTGAATGCTGAATTTTAAGCCAGCTTTTTCACTCTCCTCTTTCACTTTTTATCAAGAGGTTCTTTAGTTCCTCTTTGCTGTCAGACATAAGTGTGGTGTCATCTGCATATCTGAGGTTATTGATATTTCTCCCAACAATCTTGATTCCAGCTTGTGTTTCATCCAGCCTGGCATTTTGCATGATGTACGCTGCATATAAGTTAAATAAGCAGGGTGACAATATGCAGCCTTGACATAATCCTTTCCCAATTTGGAACCAGTCCATTGTTCCATGTCTGGTTCTAACTGTTGCTTCTTGACCTGCATACAGTTTTCTCAAGAGGCAGGTAAGGTGGTCTGGCATTCCCATCTCTTGAAGAGTTTCCCACAGTTTGTTGTGATTCACACAGTCAAAGGCTTTAATGTAGTCAATGAAGCAGAAGTAGATATTTTTCTGGAATTCTCTTGCTTTTTCTATGATCCAATGGATGTTGGTAATTTAACCTCTGGTTCTTCTGTCTTTTCTAAATCCAGCTTGAACATCTGGAAGTTCTCACTTCATGTACTGTTGAAGCCTTGCTTGGAGAATTTTGAGCATTACTTTGCTAGTGTGTGAGATCAGTTCAACTGTTCAGTAGTTTGAACATTCTTTGGCATTGCCCTTCTCTGGGATTGGACTGAAAACTGACCTTTTCCAGTCCTGTGGCCGCTGCTGAGTTTCCCCTATTTGCTGGCATATTGAGTGCAACACTTTAGCAGCAGCATCTTTTAGGATTTGAAATAGCTCAGCTGGAGGTCTATCACCTCCACTAGCTGTGTTCATAGTGATGCTTCCTAAGGCCCACTTGACTTCACACTCCAGGATGTCTGGTTCTAGGTGAGTGATCACACCATCATGGTTATCTGGGTCATTAAGACCTTTTTTGTACAGTTCTGTGTGTTCTTGCCACCTCTTAATATCTTCTGTTTCTGTTAGGTCCATACTCTTCCTGTCCTTTATTGTGCCCATCTTTACATGAAATGTTTCCTTGGTATCTCTAATTTCTTGGAGAGATTTCCAGTCTTTCCCATTCTATTGTTTTCCTCTATTTCTTTGCATTGTTCACTTATACATGAACAGTTATATGTATACATATATCGACTCATTTTTAGATTTCCCTCCTGTTTAGATCACCACAGAGCACCTAGTAGAATTCCCCGTGCTGTACAGTAGGTTCTCATTAGTCACCTATTTTATACATGGTAGTGTATCTATGTCTGGAGAAGGCAATGGCAACCCACTCCAATACTCTTGCCTGGAAAATTCTATGGACGGAGGAGCCTGATGGGCTGCAATCCATGGGGTTGTGAAGAGTCGGACACGACTGAGTGACTTCACTTTCACTTTTCGCTTTCATGCATTGGAGAAGGAAATGGCAACCCACTTCAGTGTTCTTGCCTGGAGAATCCCAGGAATGGCGGAGCCTGGTGGGCTGCCATCTATGGGGTCGCACAGAGTCGGACACGACTGACGCGACTTAGCAGCAGCAGCAGCAGTGTATCTATGTCAACCCCAGTGTCCCAATTCATCCCACCTACGCCTCCCCCCCTTGGTGTCCATATGTTTGTTCTCTCCATCTGTGTGCTTGTGCTTTATAGTCGACTTATACAGTGATAGTAACATAGCAACTGTATCTTTCTTTTGCTGAATACTTGTCTGGCATATCTTGCTCAGTTCTTTTTCTTTCAAACTTAATTTTTTTTTACTGAAATATAAATCACATACCATAAAATCCACGCTTTAATGTACAATTTATTTTTTTTTTTAGTATACAGATGGTCCCTGACTTAAAATGGTTTGACTTTTTGACTTTTATGCTGGTGTGAAAGCAATAAACATTTAGTAGAAACCATGCTTCGAATTTTCAATTTTGATGTTTTTCCAAGCTAGCAATATGTGGTGCAATCCCCTCTCATGATGCTAGGCCGTGGCAGTAATCTGAAGCTCCTGCTCAGCTACTTGATCAAGAGGGTAAACAACCAATAACGCTTATCAAAATTCTGTACCCAGATAGCCATTCTGTTTTTCACTTTCAGTTCAGTATTCACTTATATGAGATATTCAATACTTTATTATAAAATGAGCTTTGTGTTAGATGATTTTGTCAAACTGTAGGCTAATATTAGTGTTCTGAGCACATCGAAGCTAAGCTATGATGTTTGGTAGGTTACGTGTATTAAATGCATTTTTGACCTAGGATATTTTCAGCTTATGATGAGTCTATTGGGAATTAACCCCATCAGAAATTGAGGAAGATCTGTATTTACAGTTTACATCATCACAATCTAATTTCAGAACATTTTCATCACCCCAGAGGAAAATGCTGTACCCGTTAGTGATAACTCTCCACTTCCCCTTCCCCAGCCCCTGGCAATGAATGATTTACTTTCTTTCTCTGTGGATTTGCCTGTTCATATATTTTACATAAATGGAATCCTAACATGTGGCTATTTGTGTCTAGCTTATTTCACTAAGCATAACGATTTCAAAGTTCATCCACATTGTAACATGTATCAGTACTTCATTTATTTTTATAGCTGAACAATGTTCCATTGTATGGATAGATCATGTTCTATTTATCCATGGATCCAGTGATGGACATTTGAGTTGTTTACACCTTTTGGCTATTGTTAATAACGCTGCTATGATCATTTCTGTGCAAGCTTCTGTGTGGACATACATTTTCAGTTGCCTTATTTGATAGAATTCACCAGTGAAGACTTCTGGAGTTGGATGTTCTTTGTGGGAAGACTTTCAATTACTATTTCAACTTATTTGCTTGTTATAAGCCTATTGAGATTTTCCATTTCATTTAAAGTTAGTTTTGGTCATTTGTGTCTTTTTCCATTTCATCTGAATTGTCTTAATTTGTTGGTATAACGTTTGCCTTAGAATTGTTAACATTTTTTAGTTCAGTAGTAATGTCCCTCTTTTCATTCTAGACCTTGATAACCTATTTTTTTTTTTTTTTTTTGCTCACTGCATGGCCCTAACCACTGGACCACCAGGGAATTCCGAGGTAATCTTTTTTTCTTGATCAGTCTAGGTAAGATCAACTGTTGTGGTCTTTTAAAAAAAACAACTTTTGTTTTCACTGATTTTCTGTAGTTTTCCTGTTTTCTAAATCATTTCTGCACTTATCTTACCTCTGCTTACTTCAGATTTAGTTTGCTTTTCTTTTTCTAGTTTATTAAGATTTATCATTTGGCCATTGATTTGAGACTTTTTTGTTGTTGTTGGTATAGGCATTTACAGCTATAAATTTCTCTTGTAAACAATATATATTCAATAGTTGAATCTTGTTTTTTTGAATCTCTGATTTTTGATTGGGGTGTTTAGACCATGAATATTTAATGTAGTGATTGATATGGCTGAATTTACATTTGCCATTTTGCTATTGGTTTCTCTGTATCTTCTTTTTGTTGGTCTCTTCCTCCTAGATTGCCTTCTCTTGTGTTAAATGTTTTCTCTAGTGTACCTTTTTTTTCTTCTGTGGATTTTTAACTATATGCTTTTGAATTGCAGTTGCAGTACAATATATATCTTAAGTAATTACAGTCTACTTCATATTAATACTCATTTAATTTTGGTAAAATGTAGAGACTTCTCTAACATAGCTCCATTCCTGCCTTCCTCTTTTCTGTTATTAATGTCATATATATTACATCTGTATTGATTATCATAGAAACTCAACATGACAGTGTTATAGCTATTGCTTTATATCAATGCAATCTAACTTTTTTGGAAGAAGTTAGGAGAAGAAATGAGGAATAATAAGAGGCACATTTGTATTAACACAGATATTAATCATTTTGGCTCCTCTTCATTTCTTCTTGTGAATTCAACTTACTAACTGGTGTCAGCCTGAAGGACTTCTTTTAGTATTTCTTGTAAAGAAGTATAGTAGCAATGAATTCTCCCAGTCTTTATCAGGAAATATCTTTTTTTAACCTTCAATTTTTTAAGGGATAGTT